GTGACTAATGGCGTACCATCCATTTCCTATCCTCTCAAGTCTGTCTTTAATTTTTTTTTTTTCCTGTTTGTTCATAGTAGACACCATTTAGCAAAATATTTAATTTAATATCTAAAGCTTTACCTTAATCAGCCAAATACATGGCCCAGTTTCAGGAAAAACACTACCACTTCAGCAGACATGAGCACATACTTAAGAATACTCTGAAATAGCTCCTTTTCTTGATCAGAGCAATTCTCTGAATTTCTGTGAATTTTCAATCCAACAGGACATCTGAAGAGATAAGGGACAGAACTGAGAGGACCATAGCTTGAGGACTGAAGATGATACATAAATGCTGTCACCAAGACCATTAAAAGATATGAACACTACAAGATTTACCTGGTGAGATAATCTACTTCATTAAAATACTTAATTTAATTGGAGATAAACAGATAAGTTTTGGCATGTAAACCCTTGTTCATGTCACCTGAAAAATAGTCTTGACAATGTAACCAGGATACAACGCTCCCTAAGAGCTTGCCCTTTTTTCCAACCACATCAATTAAGCTAATAGTCTTTGTGTACAAATTTTGCTTTGATGTTATGTGAAAGGAGATGGAGTGACTTGTAGAATGATCTACAGACAGAAAACAGAGTAGAGGATAACCCAGTATCACTCCAGGGCCAGCAAAAAGTCTTTATACCCAGAGACCAAGAAAAATCAGCATGTTTCTCACATGCAGTCCCAGAAGCGTGTAAGCTGTCCAGGCAGGGAGGTCATTGGCCTAGGCACAATGCTAACCCTTCAGCTACTGGATGCTCTGGGGTGGGACTCTTCCCTTCAGAGGTACTGCAGGCACTTCAGGGTAGGGAACGTAGCCGAGCATTTCTGTGTAGCTGACACAGGCAGTCACAGACATCCAAAGCCCCAACGCCCCTCACGAGTGAAATGCTTTGTCAGAGCACCTTAGCAGTGCTAAACCCCGCAGCAGTTTGAAAGCGTTTCCTTAGTAATCACAGTTACAGAGCACACTCTTCTAGGAAACTAATCCTTCCAGGAAACATTAATTTCCTCTTCTCACCTCTCTTTCTCCATTTCCACTCTTTTGTTTCAGGACCTGCCTCTTCGGAAGGGTTTCCTGATTTTTTGGTCAGCCTACCCTGACTTTGCAGGCTTCGTTCCTACAGCCCTCCTGGGCAAGTAGAGACAGTTAATGCACAACTGAAAAATGAGGTAAACTATCCCCTAGTTTCATACTTAACCAAGCTTTGTTACCTCTAGTCACCTCATGTTCTGCACTGATTAATGACCAACTTCCCTCTCTGAATCAGCTGTGGCCTGCTTGTACCTTCCTCTTCTGTTAGCATAGTTTAGATACTTAGAATTAGTTCAGGTTTAGGTCTAAGCCTTTGGCAAACTACCAGTAGTCTGACGAAGATAACATGTTTGTCTGGTCCTAATCAAGATCTCATGTCAAGTGCTTCTGATGCTCTCCTTAGATAACATGCAGAAGCTAATCACTGTCATTTTCCCCCTCCTGTTATTCCACTGGCTAAATTAGGAAACTGGTATTATTAAGAGTGTACCTTTCTTCTCTGTGGATTGCTCTCCATGACAGAGATTTGTTGTTGGAATGTTCCCAGTTCTGTCCTTGAATACACCCTTGCCATAAGGCTACTGGTGAGCTACTGAAAACGTCAGCTTCCTACTGCCAGATGGAAAATGGTTTCCACTGCCACAATAAAGAGATAATGAGCAATAGACAAGCAACAGAAATATAAATGGTTTGGGTTTGCCCTCTTATGCAGACCCTCTGGTTTTAGCTATCTTGTTAAAACTAGTATTAGCCATAAAAATTAGATTTTTTATCTGTTTAGAACACTTTGTTCTTGTGAAAGCACGAAAGAGGGGCATTAAATTATATCTGTGCTACACATTTTTAGTGATTGGTAATTATATTGTCACTCACGATGCTATTCATTGCATTTAGCTGCATGGAACTGGGGAAAAACATGATGTTTCTTCCTGTATGAGGCATAATGAGAATCTATGGCTTCTCACAGCATCATACATCAGTGAGGTACAGGAGTAAATAAAACGTGGGAAAGTTGTATTTGGAATAAAAGATTTTTTTTCTTCAAGCCATAGTATGAAACTTTTGTATTTCCTTTGGGAAATACAAAGGGGAAGGTAACAAGTGCAATGCCCAATTTAGGTGAACAGCAAGTGCTTATTTTGTATCTGTTATACAACATCCAGCAAAGCATTGGTTTTGAAAAAGGCTCCATACAAATTCCAGCTGTAACTCTGGCCTTCAGGGGAAGAGAGCAACCATTTTTCTTGTCTCAGTTTGTGGATGGGCAACCTGAGCTATCTTCAAAAAGGCACGTGCTATAAAAAAACATGCCAAACAACCATCCTCTGGAAATAATGCACCCATCAGCAAACACTCTGTGTGCTTCCTGAACACACACACTTACACCCTTGTGCCTGTCCCTCTTCTTGAAACAGTAAGCACCTCACCCTACAGCTGGATGGTTGGGAAGAACACACCCAACCTCACTCCAAATGCATTTTTCCTAATTCTTGACTGGAATCCCTATGGCATATTAATATCTGATGCAAAAGGTGCTGTCCAAATGCTGTCCTTTTATTGAAACAAACCCCAAACCAAACAAAACCTCATCTTTTTGGCAGTGTGGCCTACTGAAGAAACTGCATCATTAATAGGTTCTGAAATGTTTCAGGTAGGAAACTGCTGTGCTATTTCAGAAGTTCTCATTTCCACAAATAATCAATTGAATTAATTTGCTGTAGAATTTGATGAATGAACATAGTTAGAGCTGGAGAGGACCAAGTCAGTTCACAAGGACTCAGAATAACTACTTATGCTCCCAGTTGGCTTGTTTGCATCTAAGTTAAAGTCCTCTATAGCCAAAGTGGTTCTACAAAACATTCTGACCTCAGTGAACGGCATCTCATGCAATTATGCTTAAGCAGAAATACTCTTTAACATATGGTTGCATCAATATCACAGTATAAGCCAACACTACATGGTCTTTGCTTCCACTTGTAATAAATGTCACTTGCCATAAACCATGGTACTCTGCGCACTAACTGTGCAGAGCTCTCAGCAGTGACCTGGTTTTTGATAATTGGTACGTATTAAATGCATCTGGGAGGTTATTTTCTCTTGTCAGGGTCACTGTGACTTCTATTTAAAAAAAACATCCCCCTGGTAACAGTCTTTTTCCTTTCCTTTCACAATGTGTTGGCAAATTAAAACTTATCCAACTATGCAATTATGTAACTTTGTTGTTTTAATTTTTATTGACTGATGTAAAGTTAGTACACGGAGAGCAAGATCAACAGAGAACAGTACTTAAATTTTTAAGAATGCAAAGGAAACAGAAAAAAATGAGACAACCCAGAACAAGATGCTGCAAAAAAATGCTTTTTTTTTTTTTTTATGAGGCAAATCTTCTAAATCGCCATGGAAAATCTGAAAGGTCTTCACAGCTGATAATTCTAAGTGTTTTTCTTTTACCAGAGGTTTGTTTTTTCAAAAGCAAGCAAAGTCCAGGTTTTAATCTTCTCTTAGAAAACCAGGCACCGTTATGCTCCCCTGTACAGTTACAGCCTGTGTAAAGCCTGCCAAGAGCCAGTGCTGCCCTCCCTCCTGTTAGCACGGGGGCCCTGCATGAGGCTGAAGGACAAGCAGTACTACCTGAGTCTCCTGCAACATTGCTTCATAAGCCACTGCTTTTAAAATGCTTTGGGGAAGCAGCCAGTAGAGTTTCAAGGGTTCATTTTTTTACAAAAACTCCTCCCCACACACTTCTTGTCTCAGAGTAATCAGCTATGAAAGGCAGGAAGGGATGTGGCAGCTGCAGCACAAGGGAGTTGAGATGGGCATGGCATGTCCCAGCTCCTCTCCGTGGCACTTCATATACGGAGTCCTCTGCCACCTGACACACTCCCCTTGGTCAGAACATCAGCACAGACCAGTATGACTGGCCACGTGGTGATAACACTGGCAGTAACAGCCTCTGGCCAACACCTGGCATTGCATACCATTATATTAAGCATTAAGCAGTATATTGCTTACTACTTTTAGGGAACACTGTATTATTACACTAGATGTGTTTAACTGCAAGAGGAAACATGACTCCACTATCTGCCTATAATCCATATTTGTACGGAACGTGGAACATTCAGAATCATACTGACACATTAACAATGTGCATCTGCACTGGTAACATCTCGAAGGGACACAAAACACAGGTTCTGTTAAGAAAACAATGTGTATGTCCTTACACTGCAAACTGGCCATGGTCAAACTGACATAGCAACTTCTCAGAAGAGCAGCAAGTCTTCACATGGGTGTGATGTTAATGGAAATGTTAAAACTTCACCTGATCAACTTGTAAGTCAGTGTTTTCAGCCAAAAGGGCTGAAGCAGGCTGTGTGCCCAGGATGGTTGAGATGACAAGAGGACTTCCATGAAGGATCAGTGTATCCCTCAACTGCTGCCTGAGATATTCAGACTCCATTTCTCTTGTTAAGCTTGCTTACCTTTTCCTCTACACCAGTACATTTTAAATGTGGTTATAAATGCAGGTACCATGCCATTCAAACTTGGGAGTTTTGATGCTTTCTCAGTGTTGGATGTCTTGAATCAGGAGACAGTCAAAACCTTTGTTCAGGTAAAGAGGTTCTGATGCAGTCAGATGCCTTTCATTACTTGTGGAATTCTCAGGGGTGCTGCCCCGGGTTGTGAAGATCAATGCAAGGTCTCATGCAACCTTGGTTGTAGTTCTGCTTAGAGCTGCCTCTTTCACACTGCTGGCCACTCTCATATTTCCATTGTAGGGTCTATATTCAGAGTCTAGGGGGTGTTTTTTTGGAATTATTCACTATCAAGCAGGATTTTATCTCAGTAATTTAACACATATTTGCACTCAGTAAGATTTCTGATTTAAAATGCCCACCCTTACACAGAAGTCCATAGACTCATTTACTCTGCCAAGACAGCTTTTTCATACACTTCAAATTTGTATTGGATGCCATTCTCCTCTTGGATATCAGCAGGGACACCTGGGTACCTGGGAAGAGAGGAGAAGAAAAAGCAAAAGCCAACAAGTAGAGTAAAATATAATTTTGAGTCACCTGCACTTTGTCCAGACAATTACAAGAGATTTTTTTTTTAAAAAGGATATGAAAATACTACCCTTCCACAGGTACACTAAGTACAAACTATTTTTAGGAATCATGTTAACTACTATCAGCAACTTGCACAGACATCTTTTTAAATCAGGATTATTCCGATGCCAAAAAAAGCCTCCACCTTTTTGGCTTAATCAAAAAACTCCAACATTATCAAAAACTTTAACACATTATTTAAAATGAAGAAGAGAAACGGGCACTTTTTTTTTTCTTCTTTGCTTTTCCTCAAATGGTTTAGAGGAAATGCTAAAGTAAAAGTTTCTTACAAGTCTACAACAGGTTTTTAAAGTAGCTGACTGCTACCATGTGAAGTGTTCCTCTCTCTCTGGGATTTATTAAAATAGTTTTTATTAACAGCCACTTTCAAAAATCTTTCCAGCCCCCTGTCACAGAATAAGGATTTTGTATGAGTGATGTTGACTTTGCAGGATAAAGAAATTTTAAATTGTATTTGCAAGGTTTGACACTACCCAGTTTCCACTTCAGTAAGGGAACTATCTGCTATTTTACAAATTCGTGTTTTAAAGCTACATTCTGACTTCAGCACACCAAATTCAGTATGCTATACCAAAGTGTACCTGAGAAACAGCCAAGAGGGAGAGAGGGAAGCTCTGAATCAGACATCAGGGTGCTAAAGTGGACTCAGGATACGGCACAGTGCAGTTCAGAACACCTTAAGGGTTGAAAAGGGTGACTCCTCCTCCTTGCTCACCTTGTTTGTCTCTCCTACATTATTCTCTCCTGTCCCTACCTATTCTCCCCCACTTCAGTGTTAATCCACTCCTGTGCCCCAGGCAGAGCACTTGACTTGCCACTTCCTGCTGCTTCCACTGCTGGTCTGTAACCAGCTGGAAACCACAATGAGAGCAGCAAGAAGAGGAAGAGGTCCTTTCCTTGCTGGTTCTTGAGGCAGACATCTGAATTTTTACCACCTCACCACTGCCTGTTGGAGGTTATCTCATTGGAGAAGACATAAAAGTATGACTGGAATATGACAAAGAGAGCATAGAAGACACAGTGAATGGCAGAAGCTTATAGTTCAATACTTGTTCCCACTAAGTTTGTTAAGAAATTATTTTCTCCAGAGAAAGGAATAACCTTAGAAACCTATAAAGGCTCAATCCTCCCTGCTCAAACCCATTTATATTGTCTTTGGCTATTTCTCAAGGACATTCAGAGACTAAATACCATTGACTAACAACAATACACAGAGTTATGAAACTTAGTATATATATGAGTAATTATAAATTAAGAAGCAGTGAGAAAGTTACTTTTCAAGTAAGCCAACAAATGTAGTTCTTTAGTGTAAGAGTATGGGAAGGCTGAAGAACACAGCAAGCTCCTACAACCCCTCTGTGCTGACTGGGGTGCAATTTGGGTTCTAAGTAAAATATGTACCTAGCGAAAAAAAATACAGTGAAAAGCACCTCTAACTCAAAACAGAGCATGGCTTTAACAGGACCCTTACAGATTCAAAGCAGTTTTCCATCTGAACACAAGACTAGTATGCATCTTGATACTTACTCTGTGAGAAGTTTGTAGTCTTTGTGGTTGATTTCTGGAAAAAATGTGTCACTTTCAAATTCTTGCAAAATTCTTGTGACAAATAATCGATGATTAATTGGCTTCTCCATTGCTGCCTTTAAAAACAATAGAAATCACTAAAATTGAGCTGTTACCTGTAAAATAACTCAACCATGCATGAAGTAGTGTAGCTATTAAATTTTTTAATATTCTTGTTTTATAACACTATTTGAAGTCTGTAAGATAATATCAAGTGTAGGTTCTTATATGGAACACTGGCTTGCTTTACCACCTCTTCAAATTCCTGTTCTGCTTGCACCAGTCATCACCGTGGCAGCATTCAAAAAGTACCAAGAGATAAGAGTCTTGGCTTATTTTCTACTTGTAGATTGCACACCAAATATGTTATCTAAACCTGAAACTCTGTTATTATTGCATATATTACAGGATTTAAACAAAGCAGTGAAAACTGAACTCTAAATCTCCTCTGTTGGACGCTGCCCAAGAGCACTTTCCAAAGGGATAGTTTCATCTTGTGCCAGCTCCACATGGTAAGTGGCAGCAATACCTGTTCTCAGAGTTTGGGGCACCTGACAGAAATTAAGAAAAAAAATTATGAGTAGTCCTGTCAGAAGACAGGAGCAGTATAGCCTAGTCTCAACAAAAGGAATTTGAAAGACAGGAAGCTTTAAGTGGTAAAAGAGGTCTACTACACCTAAAGATGATTTCTTTCAATATTTAATCAATATCACTGCTAAGGATTTATAATGTATTTTTAGTCTGCATCAGTTTGCAATTGTTGTTACCAAATTACGCATCAAGTTAACTTCCAAATTTGATTTTTGGATTATGGCAAAGTGATAATATGCATCTAAAGTTACATAACTACAACAACAACAAAAAAGAAAGTTTCTGAGCTCCTTGGATGAAAAAAGTTATGAAGATGCCTGCCAGGTGAGTTCCTCACTAACAAATTCACATGACTCCAGGAGTTAAAAAAGATTTTTTGTCTGCAGATAAGACTGAAAAGCCAGCTCTTCCAGAGTTCATTTGCACTAAAATAACCCTTTAAAAGCTATGCTGGTACCTGGTTATTATGCATTTTTTAAAAAGCTTACAGCTGTTTCTCCCTTTCCCTTAAACTGTCACTGAGCAGTGCTCTTTGTTAAAGGTGCTTCACCATGCAGCATGCTGTTAGGTACTACTTTGGCAAGTACAGGAACCAAGTAATAGCAAATCCAATCCAAGAGAATGAATTGGCACCACTGCTGAGAAGTCAGTTTCTCACAAAGCTGCCTGGTTACTACAGAATGGCTCAAAACAGGAGGGGTAAGTCACAGCACACCAGCAGGCCACAGCACTGCACTGGTGGTCATCCACACTGTACATAAATACCACACTTTTTCTTCCTTGAAATAAGGGTTGGAGGTAAGAGGACTAACATACACATACAGAATGACAAAAGAATAATCTGCTTCATAAATAAAACCATGTAGTGTTCTGAAACAGAGATACTTCTGGTTTGTAGCAGAGGAATAAATCAACTTCCTATCCAGGGGAATTCAGCTTCAGCAAGATCTCTGTACCACAAAGACAGGTCAGGGAAGAGTATACGAGTGACTGACCACAGATATTGTAAAGAAAGCTGAACCTAGCATGAAGAGGACTGGAGGGTGACCTCCTTCGTAGATAAATGCTTGCTTTAGTGGGAGAGAACCAACCATCTGTGCAACTGTTTGTCCCCAGGTTAATAACAAAAAGTGCAAATGCATCCTGAGCTAGAGTGGCTGTGAGGGTCTGCGTGTGTATGTGGCCCACAAATATTAAACAACAAATGAAAAGAACATGGAGAAGAGCAACAGGCTTGAGCTGGTTTCAACCCAGATTTTTCCTCCTCAGCAGCTGGGAATGCCCAGTGTCATGACAGTGAGCATATGACAGCAGTGGGCAAGCAGAAACAGATCTGTAAAGTCATTCAACTTTTTACTTCAGTTGATCTACTCTGCTAAGCGTAATTTTCACCTGTATTGGGATTTAAGTACATAGTTAAATTATGTCATGGGCTGACATTCCAACCTGGCCTGGGCCTGTCTCCATGGCCCTGTCTAGTCATCTCCGGGTTGTTTGACTCTGGTTACCTTCACAGGGTCTGATCCCAACCTGCAGACCTGCCTCATCTCCAGGGGCCATGGCTAGTGAGAGCCCTGTCATGCCTGTCAGGTTACTGCCCGTGGGTCCCAGCTCCTATTCCTCTGGGAGCATGTGGCCCTCAATGTTCCCTGACAGTAGCTTCAGGTAAGTGAATTCTGTACTCAAACACAAAACTTTCCACATGTGGAGCCTCCAGAGGAACTTGTTTAGAGAGGACTGGACTCTGACACTGCTTCTGCAAACTGCTGCTATGGACCTGGCAGGATGGGGAAGAAGCTTTATCACAGCTCTGGCAGTTTCATGAGGATTAGGGTAGCTCCTCACTGACATTCAATTCAAAAAAAATCCCTGTGCAGCTCACTCTAGCCGTTTCTCCACTTTTTTTGGTACAGAAAACAAGTTAGAGGACACATAGTGCTGATTTGATAAAATGTTGACATGTACTCTGAACTTAATCAAGGAAAGACACATTGCACATATTTAATAAACAGAATAGGTTGAATGAATATGACTTTGGTTTAATGTACCATACACAGAATATGAAGGAATAGATGTAAATCATCTTGGATATTGAAACAGAATGTGCACTAACTACATACTTTCTAGTGATCAGGCAATATTGTGGGAAGGTAGTGCAATACTCAATAGGCAATTTCCAACAAGTAGGAGATCAATTTGTTTGGTTTTGTAAATGTGAGGATAATGTAAGTGATAGAAGATAGATAGTAAGAGAGGACTTTTTGGAAATAATTGTACCAGGACAAGAGCAGGAGGTTTTTAAAACAAAATGATGATATCTCTGAGCCCATGCTTCTGTAGATTTGAAAAATCAGCATCCCCACTCCACAGTCATGATGTTCTCCTCACTCCACTGCCACACTGGGTCTCAAAGTCATTCTTGGTTGTCCTGGTTCCGTGTAAAAAGGGGTTCAGGGCAGGACCCACACGGAACAGAACTGTGTACTCGCCTCTCCCCCACCCCCTCGAGAGAGAGAGAGAGACACTTTTTAAAAAAAAATGAAGTATATTGTTCAACAAGGAACAGAAAACGAAAAAAGGGAGGTAAGGAAAAATAATATATATAAAGATCAGGGGAATAATACAAAAAGATAAAATATACAAAACCCTCAGAAATGGTTCCAGGGTCCCACAGAGTGAAAGGAGAACTTTCCTCTCTGAGCTCCAAGGCAGGAGTGAAACAAGAAACCACTCCCTGCCTCTTATCAGAGTGTGTGTGGGAAGGGGAGGGAATACAATGGTTTCACCCCTACCCGGGGTCCTCCCAGTTGCTGGAAGGTCACGACCCCATTCCTAGCCTTAAACCACAACATTGGTACAATTTTAATTTACTGCATTCTTCCCTCATAATCCATCCAGTTATTGTTGGACTGTATTTGTACCCACCACTGTTTTCCCTTGGGAGCTGCATGTGTTTGCTCTCCACACAGGCCCACCTCCTTGTGTAGCAGCTACGGACCCTTGTGAGACATTACAGCCTGATGCAGCAAGGAAAAGTAATGCTGGTTTTTGGGTCCTGTTGAAGCACAGCTAATTAAAACCGTGACTCTTGATCTCTCAGAAACTCCAGAACCACTCCCCAAGCAGAGATGACTTTCCACAAGAGAGGGAGGACAGCAGAGCTGAGGCACCAGGATTTCTCCTGTTGTCCAGGTACACTAATGCTCTATGCCAACCGTAGTGCTTTATTACTCACATTTATCTTCATAGGCCTGTGAAAAGATTTTAGCACACCCTCATCTTTTTGCCCACTTCCAAGAAATCCTCATCAGACCTGCCTCTGAAGCATAAAGCAAAAAGGAGATGACCTGACAACCATCTTCCCCATAACTTCCAGCTGCATGGGACTGACAGCCACACAAGATTAGATTGTGTCTGTACGTGCAGGACCATTGCCTTGAATTATGTAGAACACAGGTTAAAACAGCCCTGAAGCTCTGCATCAAAGAATAGCTGTGTATTACAAAGTATTTCAGAAGTATTATATGAAAAAATAGTATTTTGCAGCTCTAATCACCAAACCACTGTAAACCAGTGGGCATAGCAACCAATTGCTGTGGAACAGACCAATTATTTCTAGTCATTTAAAGATTCAAAGTTTTTTAGGACACACACACACAGATTCTGCTTTTTCACCTTCTACTGATTACACCTAGTGAGTAAAATAACCAAAGTAACTATGTGAGGCACTTATTCTTCAAGTGTCTTCCTAGACAACAGCATTGCCAATCTAAACAAAATATGGAAACACCCTAAGAGAGAAAATTTTAAAATAACAGTATATTTATTTGCATTCTGTTTTTCAACCCATACTGGCAAGCTGCATTTTGAAGCCATGAGAGTCCTAAAAAAAGTATATTTTATAAATAAAATCTCACAGCTGAAGATCTCAGAAAGTTCTCGATCTTATCCAAGTAAAAAGACTTGCCTAAGTTAAACTTTGGCTATTAGAGGAGTTGCAGTGGTAACCAGGAGAATCAACACCTTCAAAAATCCTTCCTTCACACACTACCAGGGCTCAGCTTAGTAAGGCAGGGAACAGCCCCTCCTTCCTAAGCCTCAGGCTAAGCCTGGTGAGGGAGGAGACACCGTGGTAGCTCCCACCACCAGTTCTCTGTCAGGGACAAAGGCAAGTGCAATGGAATCCTTCCATGACCAACACAGGGAAGCCTGCCCATTTTGCCCTTGCAGAAACAGATGCACTTGAGCACTTAAACCTTTTCCTTTATGATCTCTGCAAGAATCTTTGAAAAAGAACTTAAAAAGCAACAGCCTCTCATGGCTGCATGATTTGTGTCTGCAACTGACTCATGTATTAACCTTTTTCAGTCATTATTTTTTACCCAGAGGAATGTCAAATCAATACCTGTGTTCACAAGAATGAGCACACAAAAAGCTTGTTTAGGAGTGGTAACAGTACTACACCTTTCCTCCCACATTAAAAATC